AGAGAGAGCGAGAGTACAGTACAGTGATCAACAGAGACCCCCACCCACACGCCGCGCAGTGTGGGAAGCGACGACGAGACTCACTACTCGCACTCGCAGCACGGATCCAACGGGAGGAACGAGGGGACGCCCGGGCAGCCCCCGGGGCACGCGCAGCCGTTACGGTGCGCGTCCTGCCCGCCGCCCGGCATCGGCGCATCCTCCGCCGCCGCCGGGGCCGGCGGCTCGCCCGGGATTGGCGCGTCCGTCATCGGCGCGCCCGGCATCGGCGCGCCCGGTGGCGCGCCCGGCATCGGCGCATCGTCCGCCGCGGACCGCGGCGGCCCATGCGCCCCACAATAGGGCACGGCCACGCCGGGCGTCGCCCGCAGGAACGCGGCAAAGGAGTCGTGGTCGAACGTGCCCTCCATGATGGCGAGCCGCGTCGCCGCGTGGGGCGGGCGGTTGATGGCGTCGACGACGACGACGCCCCACGCGTGCTTGACGGCGTCAGCCTGCTCGAGCCCGCGCAGCCACTCCGCCGCGTCCTTCGCGGTGCACTCGTTGTACGACGACGTGCGGGCGGCGAGCATGCGCCGCATCGCCAAGTAGTCGCAATCGCTGCAGCCGGCGCGCTGCACCACGGGCGGCAGCGTGTAGCGCGTCACGGCCGGGAGGTGCTGCGCCGGGAAGCAGAGGGCGTCGCTGCACGCCGGGCAAAGGGCCAGGTGGCGGAGCGCGAGCCCCGCGCGAGTGCGCCGCGAGTGCGCGAGAGCCGCCGCTAGGCGGCGGTAGCTCTCATAGAGAGCGCCTGCGGGCTGCTGCTCGCGCAGCGCCACCTCGAACGCGAACTTTGCGTCCGCGACGAGCTGCGGCGCGTGCGGCGCCTCGCCGTGCGCCTCTGCGTCCGCCTCGCGCAGCGTCAGCGCGACGCCGCGCCGCGCGCCGAGCAGCCGCGCGCGCGTCAGCCAATGCGACGGCCAGCACTGCGGCAGCAGCAGCTCCTGCCCATCGGCGCCGCGCCAGGGCTGCTGCTTGAGCTTTGGGTCGGCGCGCCATTGCGGCGGCTTGGGGAGGCACTGCCGGTACCACAGTAGCAAACGCGCGTCGAGCTGTTGCGTGGACAGCGAGTCCGGGTCGCACGAGAAGGCGTTCGGGTCAGCGTACGGGCCCTCCATCGCAGCGAGTTCGTAGTGCATCTCAGCGCCCATGCTCGGCGGCCTGTGATCGCCGCCGTACGTCTGCAGGAGCCGCCGCACCTCGCGGACGATGCTCCTGTTGAAGGCGATGGTGATGTTGTCCTTCTCGACCGCCTCCGTTGCCTCCCCCTCGCCCAGCGGCTTGTCCGCCGTCTGGTACGCGTCCTTCGTCTCGACGGTGCCTCCGTCGGCCGCGTCGAGAACGCCCAGCAAGGCATCAGTGGCGATGGATAGCGTGCGCTCCGACGCCTCGCGAGCCGCCTCCCCCTCCCCCTCCTCCTCGCCGTCCTCCAGGTCGTCGAACAGCCGTGCAGCGGTCTTTCCTGCCTGCGCTCGCCGCACCGCATTCAGCTCCTCCTCCGCCGCCGCGCCCTCCGAGGCCTCCGCCGCCGCCGCCGCGGCGGCGGCGGGCGACGGCGTCGCGGTGGCGGCGGCGGCAGCCGCGGCCTTTTCCTCCGCCCGCTTCGCCGCCTCCCGCAGCCTCTTGTGACGCCTGCGTCGCGTGGCTTCGGCTCGCGAGCGGTTCTTGGGGTCGGGGTCAAACTCGACGCGGTCGATGACCCAGTGGTGACGCGCGTATGCCTCGCCGAGCGCGCGCACCACCCTCGCCCACAGCTCGCACTCCGCCTTGATGTCGCCCTGGAAGTGTGGCACCCTGTGCCACGGCCGCTCCGGGTTGTCCTTCTCGAGCTCCCGGTCGTAATCCTCGTGGCGCGCGGCAAGGACGGCGCGCCAGCGCTGCTCCGTCTGCGCAGGCCGGGGCCGCTCGACCATGAGCGCGTCCATCTCGACGTCCGCGTTCTCCTTCTCGCCGCCGCCGCCGGCGAGCGGCTTGCGCCGGCGCCGGCGGCCGGACGCCGCCGCCGGCGCAGGTGCGGGCGGAGTCGCGCGCCCCGTCTCGTTGTCGGGCGACTCCTCGCCGCCGGCGGCGTCGGGTGCGGCGACGTCGGCCTGCGAGTCGCGAGGGCGGCCTGCACCGGCGGCGGTCCGCAACGTCTCGCGGCGCGCCGCCAGCCACGCCGTGAACTCATGGGCGATGTCGCTGTCGTCGGGCGGCTGGTACAAGCTCGGCTGGATGTGGTCCATGAAGGCCTCCATCTCGGCCGCGGTCACGTCGTCGGGCGCGTCGACGGGCTGCAAGGCCGTGGACCGCACGGCGGGGCGGCTGCGCCAGGACTGGCGCGTCGCTGACGACGAGCCGAAGCAAAAAGAGCTGGACGACGGCAAGCCCGGCTGCATTCTCGCACCGGGACGGCGATCCTGGTCGAGCATGAGACGCCGCCTGCTTTTGGATGTTTTCTTTCTTGATTCCGTTTGTTGCAAACGGAATCAGTTGCAAAACCCTGAATAAAAAACAAAACGCGAAAATCCCCTTTGCAGCCAAGCCTACCGGGCACCTAATTCTTTTCTTCGCGCACGAGTCGGAGGATGATGGGGATGGTCCTCTCGGCGAGCACCACGCACCACGGTGCTCGCGGATTCGACCATCCGCCTGACTACCATTCCGACGACGCCTTCTGTGAGGAGGACGGCATCTGTGAGGGCGATTGCTTCTAAGCCCGTCGCCTTGCTGTACCAGTCCCGTACCCGGTGTCGTGCGAGGGAGTTGGCTCGTTAAATTCTTTTCTTCGCGATTATATATGTCCAAACCGCCGCGCCGCCGCTCGCGCCGCCTCGCCTCCGCCTCCACCGCCGATCTCTCGGCAGACACGCCGCCGCCCGCCCGCCTCCTCGACCTCCCCAGGGAGCTCCTCGAGCGCGCCCTCTCTCGCTGCGACAGCCCCCTCGACATCGCTCGCGTCGCGGCCGTCTCCCACCTCTTTCACGCCTCGCTCGCGGAGCAGGGCATCCGCTTGTGGGCGCAAGAGCGCGGCTTCGAGCTGCCGGCGCAGCCAGAGGACGAGAGCTGCGCCGTGCGGTGGCTGTGCTATTCGGCGCTGCTGTGCGAGTCCAACCCGCCCGCGAGGGCTGCGGCAGGAAAGCAGCACAGCGTCTTCATCGACGGCGAGGGGCGGCTCTCATTGTGCGGCAGTGAGGCAGGCTTTCCAGGGCTACTCGGGCACGGCGAGGGTGTGACGCGGCTCAACACGTCGACGCGCCTCCCGTCGACGCTTGGTGAGCGCGCTGCGAGCGTGTCGGCTGGTGTCGGCCATAGCCTCGCCCTGACCGCCGACGGCGCCGTCTGGAGCTGGGGCGGTGGAGGCTTTGGCCGGCTGGGCCACGGCGACGAGCAGATCCAGCTGCTGCCGAAGAAGGTCGAGGCCTTTGCTGGCCAGCGCGTCGTCGCTGTGTCGGCTGGAAGCTTCCACAGCCTCGCCATCACCGCCGACGGCTCCGTCTGGAGCTGGGGCGGTGGAGGCTTTGGCATGCTGGGCCACGGCGACGCGCAGAACCAGCTGCTGCCGAAGAAGGCCGAGGCCTTGGGGGGGCAGCGCGTCGTCGCTGTGTCGGCTGCAGCCAGCCACAGCCTCGCCCTCACCGCCGACGGAGTTGTCTGGAGCTGGGGCTGGGGAGGGCAAGGCCGGTTGGGCCACAGCGACCACGAGGTGCAACTGCTGCCGAAGAAGATCGAGGCCTTTGCTGACCAGCGCGTCGTCGCTGTGTCGGCTAAAGGCGACCACAGCCTCGCCATCACCGCCGACGGCGCCGTCTGGAGCTGGGGCTGGGGATACTTTGGCCAGCTGGGCCACGGCGACACGCAGGACCAGCTGCTGCCCGAGAAGGTCGAGGGCTTTACTGACCAGCGTGCCGTCGCTGTGTCGGCAGGAGACAACCACAGCCTCGCCATCACCGCCGACGGCGCTGCCTGGAGCTGGGGCTGGGGAGGGGAAGGCCGGTTAGGCCACGGTGACGAGCAGCGCCAGCTGCTGCCGAAGAAGATCGAGGCCTTTGCTGACCAGCGCGTCGTCGCTGTGTCGGCGGGATGCGACCACAGCCTCGCCCTCACCGCCGACGGCGCCGTTTGGAGCTGGGGCGCAGGAGACGATGGCACGCTGGGCCACGGAGAGGACCTGTCGAACCAGCTGCTGCCCAAGAAGATCGAGGAGTGGGCGCCGGGGCAGTGATGAGAAGGGCGAACGGTGAGAAGGGCGAAAAGGGTGCAAGGCTCTGTGTTGCCGCGCGTGCCTGTTCGCCTCCTGCGAACGTGTCCGAGAGTGGCGAGAGGCGTATCCGGGACGACAGAGATTTCCCTCTAAACCCAAGGGGGAAACGCCTTGTTGCGCGGGTGCCGTCGGAGCACACTTGTGAGTGAGTACACCCCCCGCCCCCCACCCATCGTTTTTTTCTGTTATACCCCTGACTCGCTTGTCGCTGTGGCCTCCTAGCTAGAAGGCCGCTGGGCGACGAGCGTGCCGTGTTCCCAGGAATTTTACTAGCGCGCAAAAGAATTTTTTAGCCGGAATGCTCCTCCGACCCCACTTTTTAGAAGTCTAGACTTTAACACAAAAGTCGAGAACCACAAAACTCTCTCACACAATACTAGGCACGGGACTGGCGCGCACTGGCACTTAACACAAGGAAGATTTTAGAACCCCGCGCCAGTCCGTGGCAGGTCGTGCAAATAAAAGAAAGAAAGCGTGCCGCGGGAGAAGATGATCTTTCTTTCTCACCCATCCGTCTCTGCTCGACGACGTCGACGACACGTACCGCTGCTTTCGAGTCGAGCGAACACGAACATCGCCGCTGCTCGTCATCAAGACGCACAAAAGCGAGGCCAAGACTGCACCCCAACCGTGGCAATTCCATTCTCTCTCCCCCCGCCCCTTCACCTTGTCACAGCGGCCGCTCAATCGTGATGGGGAAGGGCGACACAGCGGCCGCTCAATCATTGTCTTCGAACTGGGTGAAGTCGACCAAGATTGTAGAGCCGAGAAGGTTGGCTGCGGTTCAAGACGCATGGCGTGTGACGTGCATTTCAGGTGAGCTAGTGGTAGCTCGCATGCGGTGAAGTCTACGGCGCAGGATGGCACACACCCTTGGTGACTGTGGTCACGTTCGCGGGGAAAATGACAAAGAAGTTGTCTGCGGTCGTGCAGCACTCCTTCTGCAACCCGCTCCACACCTACGCGAGGACAGAAGCGCTCGCTGCTTGGGGCCTGGCGCGGGATGGCCGTTCATCTGCGACGCGGCACCTTTGTAATCTGCGCTGGCGACCCCTTGGCGCCTGCCCCGCCAGGGAGCGGCTCCTGGGTCTCCGGGTCGCGGATGATGAAGGGCACGTAAAAGAAGCGCGAGCCTCTCCCTCCCATGCTGCAGTTAATGCAGGCGCCTCCCATGCACGTATCGGGACGGATGAGGTACTGTTGGCGGCCATCGGCGTCGAAGACGTGAAATTTGGGGACGAAGGGACACTCGTCGCAGACATACTTCGTCTCTCCGACTTTCGTGCCATCGGGCGTGGTGGTCACCAACGCGGGGAGGCAGCAGCAGCACGGGAAGGCGGCGTCAAAGTCTTGCGTGCGGACTATGCAGCAGACAGGCATGGACCAGTCTTTACTGAACTTGACCAGCTCCTCGCCGTCTTTGTCTGGCACCGTGATTGGCATCGAGAATGGCCGCACCATTGCCGAGCCGCAGAGTGAGCAGAACACGCGGAGAGCGCAGTTGGAGTGCTCAATCATGTGCGCGATCTGGGGCGCATTCTCTCCGCCGTCTTCTTTGAGTCCGGGATATATCAGGTATTCCGACTGAGCGGTACATCCCAGGCACTCTTGCACGCATCCGCGAGGCGTCTGCTGCACCGACACGGCGTCGAGCGGACCGAGCACCCGCTCCATGGTTTGCGTGAGGGGGGCGCCGATTGCCACGGGGACGTCGGTCGTCTCCATTCCTCCGGCACACACGCCTTCGACCGGGACGGCTTCCACCGCTACAGGCTTGTCATACGCGTCGGCCATGGGGCAGGCGTCCGAGAGAGAGAGTGTTTGGCGTACGTGCACAGACTTGCAGCCGCCGCCCGATGAATGCGGCCCCCGACGTCCTTCGGAGTACGGCCCATGCGAGATTCGATGTAAATTGCATTTGGCGAAGGCTCGCTCTTCATTCCCGACAGGGCGGGGGGACGAGACGACCGCGTTTGGATCGCTAGAAAAATTGCGTTCTTTTTTACCCAGCGGCGGTGGCTGCAGTGTCCTGCGCGCTACGACCGCCGAGTTCCCGAGCGATTGACAGCCCCCGGGCATGCTGGAGCCGCTGCGCAAAGATAGTGACGATGGTGGTGTCTACTGTGTCCAGTTCTGCCGGCTGGACCTCCCAGCTGTCGTCGACCGAGTCTGTAGCAGCAAAGTGCACACGCTCGAGCTGCACAGCGTCGGCCTCACGCACGCCGCGCTGCAGACGCTTGCGAACTCGCTGTCACGGTGCCCATCGCTCACGACCCTCGACTTGGGAGGCAACCCTCTCGTCGGCGACGACGGCGCACGCGCCATCGCCGACGCGCTGCGACCTGCGTGCGCTGTCACCACGCTGGCGCTGGACGGTGGCCGCATCGGCGACGCCGGAGGCACGAGTCTGGCTCGCCTTCTCGGCGCCCCGGTGAGGTGCCTCCGCCTGCAGCAGAACGCGCTGCGCGATGCAGCGGCCCACGCTCTCGCAGCCGGGCTGCGCAGGTGTCGCACGCAGGCCAGGCCGCAGCAGATGCTGAGCGCATTCAACTCCCAACTAGCTCCGCATACGTTGCTGCTGTATCAATTGCACCACGAGCGAGTCGCCGCAGTCGGCAGCACTCGGCAGCAGTTGGCAGCACTCGCTGTCGCGACACTGCATTCGCACCTTTGCAGCTGCTGCACGTAGCGCCATCACACGCCTCCACCCGCCACCGCCCGCCTCCACCACCTCTCCTCCCGCCTTCTCTCTCTCCACCTCTCCGCCTCTCCTCCTCCGCCTCTCCTCCTCCGCCTCTCCTCCTCCGCCTCTCCTCCGCCACCCGCCGCCACCCGCCTCTCAAGCAGGCGCCCGCCCCCTGCGAGTTGACTCTGCAGCGCAACTGCATCGGCAACGCGGGCGCCGCCTCCCTCCTCGACGCGGCCGAGGGCGGCACCTGCCGGGTCGACCTCAAGTTCAACCTCGTGACCAGAGACCGGCTGCTCCAGCGCATCGCCGAGAGTCGGCGAGTCTCGGCCAGGACATGCTGTCGGCCGGGTGGCTGCTGGCTCGATGCAGAGGCGGAGCCGCCGCGAGCGCGCGCGCCTCGCGCCCCGCCAGAAGGGAGAGAGCCAGAGCCGAGTCGGAGGACGCGTCCAGGACATGTCCGAGACATGTCCGAGACACGTCCGAGAGGGCCAGAACCCGGGCCCGCCGTGTCCCCTGGGCGTCGCGGCGAGCAAGCGTGGCTGAGGCAGGCGTCCGACGTGCTCCTGCGCGGCCGAGAGCGCGCGATTCCGGACGGCGGGGTGCAGCGCCTCGTCCAGGACATGTCCGAGACATGTCCGAGACACGTCCGAGAGGACGGCGGGGTGCAGCGCCTCGTCCAGGACATGTCCGAGACATGTCCGAGACACGTCCGAGAGGACGGCGGGGTGCAGCGCCTCGTCCAGGACATGTCCGAGACATGTCCGAGACACGTCCGAGAGGACGGCGGGGTGCAGCGCCTCGTCCAGGACATGTCCGAGACATGTCCGAGACACGTCCGAGAGGACGGCGGGGTGCAGCGCCTCGTCCAGGACATGTCCGAGACATGTCCGAGACACGTCCGAGAGGACGGCGGGGTGCAGCGCCTCGTCCAGGACATGTCCGAGACACGTCCGAGACACGTCCGAGAGGACGGCGGGGTGCAGCGCCTCGTCCAGGACATGTCCGAGACATGTCCGAGACACGTCCGAGAGGACGGCGGGGTGCAGCGCCTCGTCAGCGAGGCAGAGGCGGAGATGCGCCACTACCAAACGACCCTTCCGGAGGCGCCTCCACGCCGCTCCCGCTCTCGGAACATCTGCCGGGCGGCGGCTCCGCCGCTGCCACCGCCTCCGCCGCCGCTGCCACCGCCGCCGCCGCCGCTGCCACCGCCTCCGCTGCCGCTGTCGCCTCCTCCACCGCCGCTGTCGCCTCCGCCACCGCCGCTGTCGCCGCCAGTTGGAGCGGGGAGGCGCAGGGCGCTCGAAGCAGGACGGCACGGAGGCAGAGGCGCGAGGTCTCGAGATGACCCGAGATGACCCGAGATGACCCGAGATTAGGGGCGGAGGCGCTGGGCGGGCCGCTTCGGCCTCCGGTCGCGAGGGTGGCAACGGGCGGGGAGCAGCACTGGCGGAGGGCGAGCGCCGGACCGGAGGGAGCGATGGGCTCCTTCTCATCGCCGCAACAGCTCGCCGTGGCCCTGTTCGAGCGGCGCGTGGCGGCGGAGGTCGAGGCGCGGTCGGCGGAGTGCGAGGAGAGGGCCGAGTCGGAGGACACGTCCACGACATGTCCGAGACACGTCCGAGACATGTCCCAGACATGTCCACAGGCGAGGGCCGTCGAGGTGGAGTGCGCGCGACGGCGGCTCGACGGGCAGCGCCGGGAGCTGCAGCAGCGTGCGCGGCTTGTGGAGGAAGGGCGGCGGGCGGCGGCATTCGAGGCTTCCCGCCAAAGGGCCGAGGT